CAATGTCCATCCCTTTATGGCTACAGTGTTCGGTTTGCTCGCTATTTTCCATCTAGTGAACACGGGAGTTTCATATCATGAATGTGTAGCCAAACAAGCACCTGTGTTATGCTGTCATGTTAATATGGACCAAATATTAACATGACAGGACTGTTTCCAACACCTTGTTGAATCTCTGTCACAAAGCATAAAGCCAGTTTTAAAAGCAGAAGGAGGTCAACCTGGTATGAGCAAAGTTGAATTGAGTGTATTCCTGGTAAAATTAAACAGAATATACAGCTGACATGCTCGATTTCAGAAACCCAAACTTATTGACTGTGAAGGCTCTCAGTCATCGTAGTCTAAGGCAGCGGTCCCCAACCCCCGGGCCTCGGACCGGTACCGGTCCGTGAGTCGTTTGGTACCGGGCCGCGAGAGTTGAGGCTCAGGTGTGAAATGTCTGGTTTTCAGGGTTTTTATTGGTTTTCAGTTTATTTTATCGTTTTTATCGTTTACTCGGTTTTCCTGGGTCTTTTCACGTGTGTTATGAATAAATCTTCTTTTTTTCGGTACCGGTACTAGTTTTATATTGTTGTATTTATCCGCGACACCTTAAAGGCCGGTCCGTGAAAATATTGTCGGGCATAAACCGGTCCGTGGCTCAAAAAAGGTTGAGGGCCGCTGATCTAAGGAGCTTGGAAAGAAAAGCGTCTGGACTTCTTTAAGTTGCTTGAAGACATTTCACCTCTCGTCCAAGAAGCTTCTGCATGCAGAAGCTTCTTTCCAAGCTCCAACCTTATTGAGTTTTTTTTTTTTTTTACTGTATAGCCTGTTTGTTTTTCACTCCAAGTTGTGACGATAGTTTGAGTCACCTATCATGCAGAAACTGAAAAACATTTGCTGCTTCTGCAAGGATTTCCTGTTTTGTCTGTTTTTATGTTGGTGTAACTAGAATATTTAAAGTGTGAAGACCTTTGATGTTCCAAAGAATCAACAGACAGACATTCCAACAACATACAGTATTATTATTATTGTAGATCTCATTTTACGTTGTGATTTTTGATGCAGTTAGTTATAATGCTGCTAATGGAAATCTCTGCTTCTGATTAATTAATTTATTATTAGCTAAACCTTTGAATGTCATTTCACTTATACAAAAATGATCTGCAGTTTTCCCAAACTGGACATGATGCTTTTTCTGTTTAATCCTCACACTCTCATTAAAATGTGCACGTGCGAATTTCAAGCTTACTCTTCTGTTTAAATCCTTAGTTTCATTTGTCCTTTTACCACTTCTATCGCGATCTCTCTGCTTTTAATTTAAGTTTTAATCGAAATGTCTTTACTGACACACTACATGTGTAACCACAGGGAATAAAACAGATAAATGAGCATAGAGCATGCTTTGTTGCTGCTTAAGTTAAAGGCAAAGCATGCATTTATTTATTTATTTATTAAATGCAATTTATATCAAATACAGTCTGGTGCAGCAGTAAGAGGGAGGAGTCAAGATTGTAAGTATAGACATTGCAAAAACAGAAACCTTTCTTCCTGTGTCTAAAAATGTCTTCAGCCCTCTGCTGCACGCAGCACACACACATGCGCGCATATCTTTCCAACAGTATAAGCAGTGTGCATGCAGCAGTTGTGGTGCAGGAACTTGTTTGTTTAGCTTTGAGTATTAGTCAGCTGTTGGTTTTGCAGTATTTCTGTGTGAGCTTGAAACCTTTCACAGTTGGCTCAAGTATAACATTTTCTCACCTTCTTGCTTTTGAACTTTGGACCCTTACATTTTCACACACAAGTCTGGGTTCACCTAGCAATGGCTGCTTGGATGGCATAGACTTTGATGCACATAGTCAAGCCAATGCTCTTCTCTTTAAAGTGGCACCTTTATCATGCATTCAGCATTTGTGTTGTGGTTTCGCAGATGACAGATAAGCTATGGCGCTATCAAACACTATGTACTATGGTCTCCAACATGCATGTCTCACAAAATTGAATCATTAGTTCCATGTATTATAATTGTCATTATATCTCTAAAGAGCAGGTGCACATCAGAACATGCGCGGAACATAACCACACTGGAAACGATGACCAAAACACTCACTGGAAAATGTCAGGAATTGATTACCCTGCTGACTGAGGCTGACAGCACAGACAACCCTTCACATGCAAAGCAGGATGTTTTCACTTGGCTGCGTTGAAATTAAACGTTCCGTCTCATGTGCGAATCTTGAGATGAGTGAGAAAAGCTTTTGCTAGAAAAACGGGAGAAATGGCAGCCCTTAGTTAGCTTTCTCAAAACGCTGAAAAGCATATGTCTGCAGCCATGTTTGATTGAATTATATGATATAATCCACGACTTAAGAAAAGCTGAGAGCAACTGCTACCCTGTGAGTCAGCCTGGCCTGCAGCCGATGCCCTCTGTCCCTCCCACTCACACAGCAGGACAAGGCTGTGCTTATGTAACAGAGAAGTAGAAAAGGGATACAAGGAGACTTAAGATAGAGGAAGGAAGAGAGGCTAAAAGAGAGAGGGCAAGAAAGAGAGGAGAGCGGCTAACCGCATGCCTCCATGTTTTCCGCTTGACAGCTTTGCATTAACCACATTTTGTCCTAGTCTTCCCCTTCATCTCCATGAGTTATTTACTTATTATTAAAGCACTTGCACTTGTCATATTAATAAAATCGTCATGAAAATTTGATTAACAAATCTTTATAGAGAGAAGTCAGAAACTCACAGTAAGCTGATTTAAAATGGAATAACTTTTAATGAAAATGTGTCTGTAATCTTGTGCAGCATGCATCGGCATGTGCAATTACATCTTTTTGTTATATCAAGTGTCAAATGACTCTGAAGCTCAGGCTTATTGAAGCAGATCCAGTACTACTCTGCTTTAACCACAGCTAGCATGTTCTCATCACCTCCACCCATCTGTGGAGCGTGTTTCAGTGACGGCTTCCTGTAATATTGGCAGAGTGCACAGTGAAACTACAGCCAGGAAACTGTCATGGTTGTATGCTCTTCCCATCAGTGACTCAAATACTGATGATCAACTCGGAGTTGTAAAATGAATGGTTTGTTGCTGAGGTAGAGTGTCTTGAATAGAGCAGTCAATGCAGTTTCATAAAGCACCAAATCACAAAAACAGTAACGTCAGGCTATAATAATATAATTTCTTTGGACCTTGATTTTAAAAAGTCAACCAAATGCTAAAACTTTGATGTCATTCTTTTTGTCCATTTATTTATTCAGACAAAAAATGGCTGGAGCCCAGAACAGGAGGACTTAAATCACACATCCATAATTTCCTATCTGGATAAATTGTCAGCAACCGCCCCCCCCAAAATTCTCCATTGCCTCCACAAGGATAAAGTTTGTTGTTTATTGGATTGTGTTATTGAAAACAGAGCTGTCAATTCCTTCTCTGATTTCTGATTTGCGATTTCTTTCACATTTTGCATCGGCTCATTAAGATTGTGGGTGCAAACGTGTCAGAAAAGTAACAAGGTATCATGCATGATGTCAGGTTTCCTTTGTGCCTCTGAAAGTGGTGGGCTGTGCAGGAAAAATGTCCAGTTCCATAGTTTGTATTTTGGTCTCCGCCCATGAGCTTTGGGTACAGTCCGAGAAAATGATATCATAGATAAGTGGTGGAAATGAGTCATCTGAAGAGCGTATGCAGCGTCCCTTAGGGATGAGGTGAGGAGCTCAAAGTAGAACTGCCACTCTGTATCAAAAATCAGAACCAGCTGTGATGATTCTTGCATCTGACTAGGAGCCCTCCCAGGCGCCTCCTAAGTGTTTTGGGCATTTCCTACTGGGGGGGTTGGAGACCCCAGTGAAGACCTAGAACATGGTTTCCGCATGGAAGAGCAGAAGGAGGTGGCTGGGGAGAGAACAGTCTGGGCATCTCTGCTGAGATGCTTTCCCCTGTGCTCCATCCTGTGATGGATGTAGTTAAAAGATGAACATAGTAACCCATTGTTTGTGAAGTCTTGTGTTAAAGCCTCAACACACTGTTTCCCATCTGTGTTGTTGTTGTTTTTTTAAACTGGACCTGACAAGTGAAGGAGAAACTGAAGGGAACACCCTGACGCATAAGGGTAAAGCTTTATCAACTTGCTTTGACTCTACTGCGCACAGAATAATCATCACACTGTATCCAGTAAGAGTTTAAACTCATTTCAAATTCAGTGTGGTGCTGTGTTCAGGCAAAGTTAACCACACCAAAGATGTGTCTTTGTCCAAATACTCACACGCACATTAATGACAAACACATTCATAAATCCAACTTAATGACATGTTGACATTTTGTAACCATCAGTGTGTATTCATGTGTGTGTGCATTGCATTAAGGTGACATAAGTGTCCATTGGATTGCATGCCTGTGCATATGGGTGTGTGTAATGGGTGTTTGCGCCTATTTTTCCATTCATACACACCCAAACCACTGCAAGAAATCAGACAGCCATAACCAAACCGCTTCCACAGAAGTCTTGTTTTTTGTGTGTGTGTGTGTGTGTGTGGGGGGGGGTTCAGGTGAGGATTCAAAAGGAATAACCAGCTCTAAACGAGTGTTTGTTTGTACTGTAAGATGGGTGTCAAGGGAAACAACATTAAAAAAATAAAAGTGACTAGGCTTATTACTAAGGTGTGTTGTTCAGTGCGTACATGTCTTATGTTTGGACACGTTTCACATTGATTAGTACAGGTTAGACTTATGTTCAGATTTGTGTACAAGGAGAATCCATCACATCACTGTCCATCCCTTATTTATCCTCTTAAAAGCCTCACTGAGATTAAAACACTGCTTTTTAAGAGTGACCTGGTTCTATTAGACGTGTCAGTGAGATTCGCTTTAATTGATTGTGGGAGGGGTGTGTTTAGTCCCCTCCCTCTTTTATTTGGCATGACACACCTGCCTACCAGGTATAGACCTCAGTCCTCCTCTCCCTGTCCCCAGTACTCAGTCACTCACGCTGCGCTCTCTTCTCTCTCTCGCTGTGTGTTTTCAGTCTAAGATGCCCTAGGCGGTGAGGAAGGAAATGTAAATGGCTTCCAAAGTAAAAGATGCTGTGGTGTGGTACCAGAAAAAGGTAAGGCGCTGCATTTTAAAATCTTTTATAAAATTAAAAAAAAAATTGTGTGTTTGGTTTCACACTATTGCTGTGTTTTGTTTTTAAGTATTTAACTATAATATTAAAATGAAAACATGTATTTAATATGATATTTTGACTTATGACTACCTCTGAAACTATGCTTTGATAGCACCATTAACCTTTTTATGCACTCTTACTAATACTAGTTTTACAAGTCTGCTTTTCATAGCGTTTTATCTAAAAAAGAAAAAAAGGAAAAAGGCTTTGACCTTTTATAAGCCCATTACATTTAATTTTTTCCTTTTATTTCTCTAAATGACACTTTTTAAAGATTCCTATTATCTTTGCACTACCTTGTAGCCTATAAAGAAGACTAATTTTTGCCCAGTGTGATTACTATTATTGTAATGATTGGGGACTATGTTGCAATTTGCATTTTATAGACATCAATCATGCTTTCCCTTTGCATTGTAGAAGTGTCTGATTAAGGCATCGTCTGTGCATATTAAATTGTATTGATATTTTATACTTGTGTGCCTCAGCTATGGTCTTTAAACCATAGCTGAGGCATAGCTGATTATAATGCTCAATATTATGAGCTGTCGGGTGGACCTCCTTTTCTGTAAGACGCTTTATAAAGTCTTTGCTTTATTCTATTCTTTGAATAATCTCCTACACATGGCTTCATCTTTTTTCTCTTACATGCTCAATAATGAAAAGCAGTCTGCTTTTACTGCACTTGGGAAATGCAGTTTCATTCACTTTCCTCTAATTCTACTCTCATCACTTGACATCTATTCTAAATTTTGTAGTTTAGAATTAGTAATGTAAATGTTAATAACACACAAAATGAGTGTAGTTCCCTCCTTTTTATTTCTTTACTTGCTTTTATTGATATTGATGCATCTTGTCCATGATTTTTCTGAGTTTAGCCAGTACAGAAGAGCAAACTGATCATCTTTCACAGAGAAATGCACAGAGATCTGGTAACGCTGACCAGTTTTGCTTGTATTTGCAGTCATCCTGACTCTGACCCAGTAACACACTGTTAATTAAGACATATTTGCTCCTTTTGCTGCAGTGATTTCTTACTTTATATACAGACTGCAGTATATGTATATACTCAATAGGTGATCATACATTGTTCTTGCTCTGTGGCACACTGAGGGAGAAGTCGCTAAATCATTTAATTTCTCTTTTTAAAAAAGAAATAAAGATAGTTTTACAAGACTTCTGACACTGAAGCGAGCAGACTCCTTCAGTAAACCATTTTGATAATGACTTCCTTGCTGCTGTCAGCAGCGACATCGGGGTCGAGCCGTTCAGCACTGCCTTCAGCCCGGCTGGTGTTGTGTGTCCTGTTGTTCCATAGTCTCAGATATCAGATCCTCTGTTGGACTCCAGCGCCGGTCCCCCTGCAGCTCTCAGCTTACACACTCATCTGCTCTCACAAACCTGACTGCCTGTTTTTCTTTTCTCTGCCCTCACTGCTGGCCTTTTTTTTTTTTTTTGCCTTTTTCTCTTTCTGCTCACACCTTCCAGATGTAGAGATCAGAAGCTGGAATGAGAGCTCACAGAATGTGACTCATCAGAAGTAACTTTAATGAAAGAACAACATTGAAAACACTTGCATGTGTAAATATATACATTTTCAATCAAAACTGCATTTTTAAAAATGTTGTTTTATTACTTTAAGTTAAATTCTTTTGTGTCGTAAATATAGGAAACTGTAAAGCTTGCACAAACCCTACTTGGGTTGTTTTCAAACCGTTGTCTTGGCTTTAGCTGATTAATCTGAGTTAAACGCAGAATGTTTTCTTTAAAAAAACATTAAGCTCAATGCATTTCTTGGGTATTTGTTCATCATACGACTGTGTTTTGTGTGTCTAGCAAAGCTTGTCTGGGCAAAGGCACACCAGTGACGACAGCCGCTGAGTCACGAATGACTAAACTTTTTTTTTTTTTTAGTGCCCTCACACCTGTCCTCAGGGGACTTCTTTATCTAGCGTGTCTCATTTAGACAAGTTAAGTGGTTGTGCGTTTTCTCACTCAGTTGAGAAAATAAACAAGAGATTAGGTTGAACTTTTCTGCAAGCCGTGACCAGGATTTCAGTGTCTCACAAGAGACAGTTTCATTCGTCTGCATTAACCCTCTCAAGGCAGGCGTTGCCCATTTGCAAACTAACAACCTGATTACCCCACATACATATTTTATGAGTTTTTTTTACTCAGAAGTACCACTGCAGGACTTGGTTGTACATTAGCAACAAAAAGTTTAATTTGAGCCTGAGAGGGTTAAATCTCTTAAGTGTTCTGTAAAATTGAACAACAGCACACCAGATAGATGAGTCTTGAGAGGCATAGAAGGGTCCACTGCACCTTATTATAATGTCTAGCTTGTCAGGAAAGGGTTTGATATCAGCAGCATTATGTAACCACCTGAAATCTTGCCAATCAAATCTTCTCTGCCCTCAGGGAAGATTCATACTTCTCAGATCCAGCTTCACACAGTTGAATAATTTGTTGTTTCCAAGTGAAAAGAAAATGTATTTGTTCACTTGCCTCTGATGGCTTTTAGCACTGCAGATTCTGCAGTTTCATTATAAATGTTTGACCTTTCTGATCCGTCACAGTATAGTTAAAACGTCAACAAACAAGTCACAGATTTAGGTTTGGGCTGTTTTCAGTAGAGCTACTTTCTTCTAAAGAAATCGCTGAGAGATATTTATAGTATTCAGCCTGCATTGGTGTTAAATTCTTTAAATGTTTCCTTTTTTAATGCTGTGAGCTCCATAAATCTGATTAAATTCAGCCGAGATGATATAAAAGTGCACATTTATGCTTTCCAGGTGTGTTTTGTTTTATTTGGTTTCGTTTTTTGTGCTATATTTTTGCCTACTTTTAAATGTGTAAAACTGCAAAAAATGGTTCACAATGCAATAAAAGACAGGGTCCAGTAACAGTTGAGTCTCACAAAGCTTATTCAGTGTATTCACATGAAGTTACATTTTATGTTGCAGAGAAAGTTCGAGATTGTCAAACCGGTCTGTTAAGGTGTGTTTCACAACTCGGGCTCTTCGGCCTCTAAACCCTTCAGGCTTATGTCAGAGTCGCAGTGTATTTCTGACTGCTGTGCTGGGAGACCATCTGTAAATAGACTCGGTGCCTTGTTTGTGTCGAGTCTGTTCTTTTTCCTCACTGCCGTGCCATGCCAAGCCCATATCACAGTGAAGGCACATGCACCGGAGCAGGCTATATCGGCCACAGCGCCAGCCATACTTACTTTTTCTCTCTGACAGTTTGTTTGTTGTTACCAGATAGAAAGCGGTTCCATGTAGAAATTATTCAGCTTTTAATGTCTTGAACATTTTAAATGTGCCATGCATGTTGGTTTATGTTTAAGCTGAAAATGTTTAACTGTAACAAATTTAATCGTAGCTTGCGTGTGTGTATTTTGAGATGTGACGCAGTGTGTATTTTCAGAGGGTGTTTGTTGTTGACTTCTCGAGATCAGAAAGTCCCGTGTGAAGATTCACTGTGACCACACTTAGCAGTCACAGGTCTATATTTAGATGAGAATTTTTCTGGATTATCTTGTCGCTTCCCTGTTGTAGTTTCTTGGTGCAACTCCTTGGACGTTTACATCTCAGAATATAATAAAAATCATCTGACCTTTACTGGGTTCTGAAACGAGGCATGACTTGGCAAATAATGGCATGGTGTATTGAGCCAAAATGCAGAAAGTGTGTGAAAAACTAAGTTCACCCTCACTGTTTGCGTAGGAATTAAGAGGATAAGTAGCCGTTATTGTGCTAAGTCAAATACACCCGATTAAGTTATCATCAGCAAATCTGTAGTAGTTTTAATTGTTTGTCTGCTGTCTGTTAACATAACAGAGAGGAGGACATCAGCAATGATCTCAAAAGTGATTGTTGCTGTGGTTATAAGGCCATTTCCAAAACAATTCCAAGCCCATCACTGTGCATTGAGAAAGATTATTCACAAGTGGAAAACATCCGAGACTCCAGCTTGTTCCAGCAGATTCACCCTGAGGTCACACTGTGCAATGTTTAAAACCCAAGAGCTCCATCTTGGACTCTGCAGGCCTCTGTTAGGAGGTTAAATGTTGAAGTTCATGACAGTACAATATTTTAAAAAAGAACAAGTCACTGAGTTTGGAATGGCAGCTACTGCAAAAAAGCTTGTTCTCTGTAAAAAGAACATGATAGCACAGCTTAGGTTTGCAAAGTTTCATCTGAAAAAATCATGAGACTTCTGAAACAATGTCGTTTGAACAGATGAGCCCATAATGTACAGCACTATGTTTGGGGAAAACCAAACCCAGCATTTCAGCACAAACGCCTCTTACCAGCTGCAAAGCACGGTGGTGTGGGGGGGATGATTTGGGGTTTTGCAGCCACAGGACCTCGGCACCTTGCAGTCTTTGAGTCGACCATGAACTCCTCTGTATACCAAAGTATTCGTCTTTCTAACAAGCTTGGGTCAGAATTGGGTCCTGCAACAGGACGATGATCCCAAGAACAGCTGAAAGAGAAAAGAAGCAAGGTCACGCAATGACTCAGTTAAAGTTCGGACTGTGAAGAAGAGCGGGCCAAAATTCATCAAAAGTCATACAGAGAAGATTGACTTCAAGTTATCACTGCTGAAGGTGATACTGCTGGTTTTTGCATCATAGATTGTACTTAGTTTTTCCACATACTGCTTCTGCATCTTGGCTTAGTTTTTGCTAAATAAATAACGGCATTTATTATGTTGGGTTGGAAAATCACCTTCTTAAGTAATGATAATCTTCATTTCTTTTCCTTCATTTGCCCCAAAGCAAAAAAAGAAAGAAGCATTGATAGGTTTGTAGCATAAACCTATTCGCTGGAACGTTCAAGACAATTTACTACACAGCAAAAAGCAAGACACAAGTAGGCGAAGTTCTTTGTGTTACTCATGCATGAGGGAGACCTGCCTGGAGCCAAGTGTCGTTC